TTCTCAACGTGCACCTCCACTGGAGAGGATTGAAGCTAACCCAGGGAATAAATCAAATCCAACGCCTTGTTATTGTAACACTAATGACATGAATGTGAAGCTTAGACTCGAGATGGTCCGCTTGAGCGCTCAGTGAGGATAAAGTTGGAGGGGGGGGGGGGGGGGGCTGCTGATGTCATGTCGATGTCATGTCACTGCAAGGGCCAACCGCACGTTTCTTCCTGATTGGTCTTCCCAGCATTATGGATGTTACAAGATACCGGTTGTCCTTGAGGAACTTGTTAGGGCAACACCGGCGGACTTTACTTTTCCCATGAACCCTTTCATGCGCCAATAACGAGAACCTGATAAGCTGTCCACTGTAGTCACCGCCGTCCCTGAAAGGGTTCAACCCTCACCCGTTGTTTCCTGTTTCCAGGAGAGGCCTACATGAGACTGAACAAGCTGGAGGAGGCAAGTCACTGGTACAAGGAGTCCCTCAGGGTCAAGCCGGACCATATACCGGCCCACCTCACTTACGGAAAACTGCTGTCCATCATAGTACGTTGCATGGAACAGAAAAAGACATAACATGAGACGACGCCCAGAGCAGTCTTTTAAAGATCCTGGTCCAAAACTGCTGCCAGAGAGTCTTTAAAAAGTGACCGTGGAGGTGTCTGCAGGTCACGAGTCATTTCCAGCGTATTCATTTCTGTACACGTAAACACATATCAACTCTCCGAGCACTCACACACATACACCGATACCCAAATGTCTCCTTGCACTGCAACAGCTGCAGGGGGGGGGAACAAAAAAAAAAAAACCATCCTGTCCTTCCAACCAGAGTTAAAAAAAAAACTCCTTGACACCGATGTGACAACAGATGTGTTCACAGCTGAGTCCAGTTTGAGTGTGGGAGGTGCCCTGCATAAACCCTTACGGGATATTTGACCTCTTTCCTTCCTCGAGTGAAGACACGGGGCCAAGAACTGAACAGACTCCACCTCAACACCTCCAAGTGTTGGTGGACCGACCTCCTTGTGGCCCCTGCGCATCGGCAGGAGCCGGAGATCAGCGCAACTCTGGACAATGGACAGACTTATCATGCAATTACTCGGCTTCCTTATTAGATCAGCCCCTCAGATAACATTTTTGGGGGGGTTGTCGTCCTAAAGGAGTCAAACGCAGAAAGGAAAGGTCAAAGTGAAATCTCCATCTTCTTCCAGGGACAAAAGACAGAAGCTGAAAAGTACTACCTGAGAGCCATCGAACTGGACCCCATGAAAGGAAACTGCTACATGCACTATGGTAAGACCCCCCCACCCCCCCAGAAAAAATAAAAACTCACACAGAACTTGAAAGTCCAAAGTGCCGCGCTGTTCCGGTCTGGGCTTTACATTCAGGCTTTTCAGTCTTTGGCGTAACCTGATAACACTTTGTAATTATGCGGGGGCTCAACAAATAACAGCAGGATGTTGAATTGGGGGGGGGCAACTGTTTGCTGAGGGAATTTGTTCCGGGGGGGGGGGTAGGAAGTGATCCATTGTTCGGGTAACTTGTTTGCTTGGTGAAGTCGCCCATGGTTTTCCAGCAGCGTTCGGTTTTGATGGGCTCTTTGATGACGGTGGGCGTGGCGGTGCCAGCGATCCTCGGTTCTGCGAGGCTGTCGACGGGGTCCGCGGGTCCACATTGGTCGGAAGTCGCCGACAGGGGTCAGGGGTTGCGTGAGTGAATCATGTACTCACTTTTGGGACTCGGGTGTGAGCTTTGTGGCGGACTTATTGGCTTCCAAGTAACTCGAACCAGGAATTAGACCGGCCGTTTCGTCCACCTTATCGTCTTTCTTTTCTCTCCCTTGACTTGCTCTGGCACCTGGCGAGGTGGAGCGCTGCTGTTTTTGGATGGCGCCGCTTCCCCTTTCCCCTCCGCGTTATCTTGCAGGCTCTTGTAATACATGATATTTATTTGGCACGTTATCTCACATCTGGCTGCTCGAGTGTGTCCGGGGTTCACGGGGTGAGCCCTGAACGTGCGCCTGATATCTGTCGGCCGTTTTATTAGGAAGATGCTCAGCACAAGCAAGGGCTTCCTGCCATTGTTTGCGGGACAGACCGAACGTGCCTGACGGAACGTCAGACACGTCACAGTTCATCGTCTTGAGATTCCGGGGCAGGAAGTTGTGACTGGCGCACTAGGAAAAGATGCAAAATAACTCAAAAGCATCTTTGTGGCTCACTCGCCATCTTCCTGTTTAGTTCCCTTGACGCCGATCTTTTTCACCAGCTCCGTTTCTCTCCTCGCAGGTCAGTTCCTGCTGGAGCAGTCGCGACTGGTCGAGGCAGCGGAGATGGCGGAAAGGGCCGCCGAGTTGGAAGGAACGGAGTTCGACGTGGTTTTCAGCGCGGCCCACATGCTCAGGTTAGCTTTGAAAACCATCCGGCGGAGCTCGTTTTGACTTTGGGGTTGACACGTTGCCGTCTTTTCAGGCAGGCCAGTCTAAACCAGGCGGCCGAGAAGCAGTACCAACGTGCAGCTGGCCTACGACCAGACGTAAGTATCGGGTTTACGATATCGGTTCATGCGGCACGATTCCATCCTGCCGCTGTGCACGATGAATACGTCACTTCGAAAAGAAAAAGTGTGTTGTTTTGTCTGCGAGGGGTAATTTAGAGTTTCCCGGAAGCCACGTAGGCCTTTAAATTTTTTTTTTTTTTTTTTTTTTACACAAGATGGAGAAGCTGCTTTCCTAGCGTCATTTTCTGGTGACTCGACTCATTTTATTGTCGCGTGAAACCAAAAGCAGAACGTCTGCGTGCTTGGCGCCGCGGCAACTCGATACATAAAGTTGTCAGCAAAGCGACAAGACGCGGGGTGGGGGTTGTCTTGCTCTACGGCTTTGATGGCGGACATATAAAACCGTTCCCACGCATCCAGTCAAGGTCGCCACCGGTGCTGTCGCGCGTGTAACTCGACACCGAGTGGTTTTCAAACCGGGTTCCGCTAGCCGGACCTTGGATTATCCCTGGACCAAAAACCACCCGATTGTGACTCAGATTGACCGTCCTGCTAACTCACTGTATGACCGTCTGCAACCTTCAGTACCCGGCGGCGCTCATGAACTTGGGCGCGATCCTCCACCTGAACGGAAAGCTGGCCGAAGCCGAGGCCAACTACCTGCGGGCGCTGCGCCTCAAGCCCGATGACGCCATCACGCGCTCCAACCTGCGCAAGCTGTGGAACATCATGGAGAGGCAGGGGCTCGCCACCAGGACGGACCAACTTTCAGTTTAAACGAGAAGCCACGGTTGCCAAATTTGTGAGGCGCTGAAATGAACTGTGAGGTGACTCAAAAAAGAAAACAAAACAAAAAAAAAGTGGTGCCAAAGCTCGGACGCCTTTTGTGCCCGCAAAAACCACAGATAAATCGTGCCGGTAAAAACTTCTTTCACATGTTTGTTTCTCGTGTGATCATGTGTTAATTTATTAATACTGTTTTGTTGCTTACTTTATGTCGTGCTGCTATGATGTAACAAGGAAGCGCGATCGCACACAGAAACTGGACTATAGTGACTTGGCCAAGGAGTATGAGGGCCAATTTTACCACTTTATTCTCATGGCCCACCCATTTGATCTGACCCTCATTTTATTTCTTTTGCAGACATTTAGAACTTTATAAAAACAATGAAATGGCTCCTTCCATCACCTAAGAACTCTCAGCTACCAACACTGTTCACATGTAGCAGGCTGACAGCCACCTGAAAAATCTCCCAATACACAAAACAACACCGAATGCATTCGTAGCAGCAAACCAAACATTACATGATGACAAGTCTTTTATGGTCGTGTCGTTTCAATTAGGGAATGTGTTTTGTAAGGAAAAACTGAACATTTTGTGCAGAATAAAAAAAAATTGCCAACGAATTACTGTGAATCGCGTTGCGAGTTTTGGCTCTCTTGAGCGTGCATAAAATGTCATTTGTCTCAATGTAGTTTGGGTGGCTTCGGCGTGTCGTATAGCTTCAGCCGGCTGCCAGTAAAAGCCATAAAAAGTCAACTTCAGAAGGTTCTACTCACATGTGGCTCGCATTCCCAGCAGGCCTGCCGCAGCACCTGCTTGTTTTATTGGCCCACGCCAAACACGCAGCAAGGAAGGAAGCGGGGCAGATGAAAGATTTCCTCCGGCTCCCCTCCATCGCTCTGCGGACAAGCAGAGGAACATATGCTCGGGAACATTGATCTTTCACTAAAGTACTTTTCAGGCCGATAAGTCGCTTATTTGCGGCTGCGGAGCGACAACGCATACACAGCGTAGATGTCAGATAAGCAAAGTTCATGCTCACCGTTCAGGTGTTGACGACTAACTGAAGTCAGCTCAACTGAATATATCGTGAAAATGATTATTCCTATGAGCTCGTGCTTCGGTTTAAACAAGAAACCATTGACAGTCAGTGTGTCTGTGCACTCCATGAGTGTGTTTCAATCTGCAGGATTCCGTGAGTGAAAGTGCGTGTTTGTGATGGGTTGTAAAACAGTCGACAAGAAAGGATTGGCGACCATTGTTCGACTGTTTCTGAAGCAACAGCGCCCTCTGCGGGACAAATGTATAAATGACAAACAGTTGATCGGGCGTGGCAGGGGCAAATAATGAATAAAAAGTCTCATGTCAGTATGTCACCCTGAAGGGAGTACTGAAGATTTGTGGGCCATTTTAACTTTTTTTAGGAGGTTAAAAAGTCCTCAAATGGCCTTCATCATGATCTTCCTCGCCGTGCGTAGAGGCGGAATGTGTGTGTGTGGTTGGGAACGACGATATTTGTCTATTTGATAGGGAAAAGGGCAATCGTTGAAGGCGAGGGAACGTCAATTTTATTTTTATAAATTCGGTATTTTTGGAGGTTGGGAAGTTTAGATTTGTCATTGGGTTACATTGTTAATCATCAACGCTGTCTGTACGTGCTGCGTACGCCATGACGTCACAATTCGCAGCCCCCAAAATACCCGGATATGTTGTTAGCATCGTTAGCATCACACAACGCACTGCGTTTATTTTGGACTGTTATCTGATAATTACAAGACAAATTCAGCTCTATATTTATCCAACTTCACCTCAACTTGCTCAATGCAAATAAAACATTTATTAGTCACATAATGTGCAAATTACACAAATTTCTGAACATAATTTGACTAAGTTTCTCTGAAACCATACTTGTACTATTGCACCACCTTGTGGCGAATTCCGTCACTTGCTCTTCTCCTCAAGATCGCTGTGGTGTACACAGACGCACAAAGAAATGCGACATCTTAACAAGATGATTTGTGATGCACACATAGCAAAGCGACATTCCGTGTTGCGGTTAATTGTCAACACAGTGCTACACATGTGGAGACCATGAGGGATGTTCAGCGCCAATACATATGCACAAAACAGCCACGAGGATTTATCAGTGAAGTTTCATGACTATTTTTTTCTTTGCCAGAGCTATTTTTCATCAATATCCCTAGGGTGGGCGCAGTGGAAAAACAAAGTCCCCACAGCGATGTCATTGTCCTCATCAAAGGCACTTGAGATTATTCATGCTCTACTTAGGCACAGAATTGCCATGACGTCACTTGAAGTGCTCGTCACTCCAGGCGACGGGAGTGCGCCACGATCTCAGTAGAACTCGATCAGGTACTCCGGGTAGATCTGATTGCTGTCGAAAATGACGTATATTTTCGGGTTGGCCGTGTCGTCCACGCAGCTGTCGAAGAAGTTGGTGAGGCTGGTGTCCTTGGAGGGCGGGCGGCAGTACAGCGGGTGGCCCAGCGTGTACTCGCCCACCAGCACCCGTGCCAAAAACATGCTCTTGTAGGACGGCTCGCTGGCGAAAATGGGGGGCGCCAGCCCGTGCCGCTGCAGGTTGTTGTTGTGCTTGCCCGTGTTGTGGCAGAACTTACTGGAGTACTTGGCATCCCGGGCGAAGTAGCTGCCTGAGAAGCAGGAAAAGGCATTTTCGTCAGAAACGATCACCAGCCAAGCGGAGTCACTTTTGTACCTTTCCCGTAGACGTCGCCGTTGCTTCCCGTGAGACGCCAGTCAAAGTTAAACATGCAGATGGCCTGGATGTTGTTGTGCCCCGTGCCGTGGAAAAGCATCCGCTCTTCAATATCAAGAGTGCGCTTCACTTTTCTCAGCTGCCTTTTCTTCCTTTGGAAAGGGGAAACACACAAACACATTGGATTGTGAGGAAGGGAGAATAAGAGCCACACTGTAAGGGCAAAAAAAAAAAAAAAAAAAAAATCACCCACCAGAAACAGAAATTGAAGTTATGCGAATAAAGTTGAAGAGTTTTCTCATATTTCAGGAAACAAAATTTTGTTTTTTTTTGAACAGTTATACTTTGAGAAATCATTTGGTTTCTGGCTTTTTGTTAACTTTCACGAAACAAAAGCGAGCTAGTAAGCGGAGGAAATTATTTCCGAGTGCATCTTATGGCGCCGGCGAGGAATTTATGAGCGCATTGCACAAGACCACGATTAACAATAGCGTGACTTGCCACTTTAGAGGCAGAATTTCCCCCGCGAGTCCACCGACCTGCAGAAGAATTCCCACAAGTCCAAATTCTGAATCCTCTGGATGGATTTGATGGGTCGATCCATTGTCCTTTCGTACAGTCGGCCCACTTCTTTAAACTCGTAGGTGTCTCGGCCCAACTGGACCAGCTGTCACACACAAAAACAAATAAAGAGCAGGGAATTAGACATCACGAAAAAGTGGTGCCTCGACTTACAAGTTGGATTTACTCCAGATCACAAGTCATTTTTCCTAATTGAAATGAGTGGAAATACTATTCATGTGGATCTTCGCAGAGGATAAAGAAGCTGTGTCAGTGAATATTGCCGTATGTTATGGCTGCACCTGTTGTTGTTCAAATATAAGTCGTTTCAAGGTTATTACTGAGACATTGGAGCTATTTTGTCTGCTCGTCTACAGCATGTTTAGATTTACAGTGAATCAAAGTATCTCAATAAATTGAGCTATCACTTTTTTTTTTTGTACCTGATAGGGCTCGTCCGTGTTGATCCTCTCCCAGTGACACGGCACGGGCAAGGCCAGGTTGTCGCAAATGAACCTAAAGGTGAAGCCAAGGCCATACACCAGATTCGACGGTGCCATGACATGATCTTAACGCCCCACTCTCACCTGAAACCCGTTGCCGAGTGAAGGGAGCGCTTGATCGGCCGCTGCTTCCCCGTCGTCAAGTTGACCTGCCGCATGACTGGCAAAAACACGGACAAACATGAGCGGAACAACCGACCTAAACGTAATTTATCTCGCCAGTGTCGTACCCGAGAAGTCCAGCCGGTACGTGTACTTGGCCGTGTAGAACTCCATGACGCCGCGCTGGTTCCGGGTGTAGCACTGCTCGATCTGAGCACTGGTCACGGAGCAGGCGGCGCTCGGGTCGATCTGCCATGAAATCACCCCGTTCATCACCGTTAAGTGTTTTTTAATTATTTTAATACGAGAACCAAACTTGACCCATGTTACGAGGGTGTTTTTGTTGTTGTTTTTTTTTCCAGGAGTGACCCAAAGTGACTAAAATGAACAGGGAGTGCCACAAAAGAATGCTAAAACACAAACCAAAATGTATTGTCTCTGGTGTATGTTAACACTTTGAAAATCGGCTATGACCAACGTAATCAGAATGTATACTATGCAAACACGATAATGAAAAACAGCAGGATGGTTAGCAACTGGGATAGGTTCTCGCTCACTCGTCACTCTAGTGAAGAAAAAATGAATACAAAACAGATGGCTTCAATAAATCTCGCCAGAATTAGGCCAGTTAAAAAAAAATCCAGTAATACAAACCTGGATTTTCTTTTTCTAGAAAAAAAGTGCACAAAATTGCCATGTGAAATATGACAATTCTCATTTGACTAAATTGATATAGAACATTTCAAAATGACAAAACAAAATTAATTTTCCTCATTTGACTAAATTGATATAGAACATTTCTAAATGACAAAAGAAAATTCATTTTCCTGTTTTCTCTTCTTGACGTTGAAGTTGAGTTCCACAAAATATTTTTTGAAATGCTGCAAACTAAAGTGGGAAGTAATAAATCAATATCAGACGTGGTATGGAAATATGTATCGATCGTGATTATCCTTCACAATTTGTACGTTATGTGCAAAGTATTCTAATATGGCGCCTACGTGTACACGTCACGGAATACCCGTATGGCCACCTATTGTTATGGTGGGGAAAAACAAGCAATCTCACGTGTACTGTCCGGTACAGTACCTCAAACATGTGCCACACCCCGCACTCGGCCAGGTAGAACCAGCACCAGTTGGGCTCCAGTGTGTCCATCTCCTCCACCTCCGGGGACTCATCCTCAGCCGTCCTGGTGGCTAGCATCGCGCTACGTCAAACTGTAGATGTCAAAACAAGACATCGACGACCACCAGGCGAGGGAGGGGATGTAGGGGGTCCAGGACGTGATTTGATTTAGTCACCTTGGCGTCTATCGGGGCAATTCATCCTGGAAGCTCAGTCCGAACATGACACCGCTCGCCGCGGAATGTCGTGACTCTCACGGCGTCGGGATCCCAGTTGCCCGTTGCCATAAAAAGGCGGAATGAAAATTATCAACCAAATCTGCCCTTTTCGACGTTCACTTTCACTTCCTGGTTTGGGATGTTATAGCTAATACGTCACGCCGTCACGCGCCAATCACGTCTGGCTCCTTGGCATTTTCTTTTGCCCCGATTTAGACCTGCACGGTTCACGCGCAAGAAATTAATAGTCACACTTTGACCCGATTTTGGTTGATGAGGTCTACACTACAAGTTCTCGATAAGGGGAAAGCCCAAATGGCTATTTTCGAGTGCAAAATATCACATTATAAAATAAATTGTTCAAAGGAAGGCTTTTGATGCTTCCACTGGACGTTGTCCTCATGATTCACAATAACACATTCACTGATTACAACAACCCCAATTCATACCCCTGTTAGACATGCATTCACCCTTTAGTCCCTTTTTTCCACCCCCAGATATATGCGCATCCTCCAAAGACACACCCCGTTTGAGAACAAGACTTTTCCCTGCTAAACTCCTGCCCACTTCTTCATTTGGAGAGTTTTCCATCCAGGGTTCACTGCAAAGCCCACTGGTGAGTTGCATGTCTCGTTTCTAGGCACTAGAACAAGTTGTGTTTTCTTTAATTAACAGTTAATTGCACTTTGGGGCCAGTAATTGTTTTTTGAACTGAGCAGCAATTGGTCTGATTCCAAAACCAATATAATCTCTGCAAATGAGATAAAATGACAAACATTGTGAGTACAAAAGTTATGAGCAGCTATGTCATGTTAATTATGTGCATGCAACAGACTTGAGACACCATGACTGATGAAGCAACCGGGGTGAATCCCAATGGACAGCCTAATCCCAACAAAATGGACAGCGACATTGGGAGTCCGGCCAGGGCTAAATGGGCCAATAAATGGGAGTTTTTGCTCTCCATGACTGGAGAGATCGTTGGCTTGGGAAACGTATGGCGATTTCCCTATTTGTGCTACAAGAATGGTGGAGGTGAGAGCTGTGTGTGTGTGTGTGTGTGTAGAGAGAGAGAGAGTGTGAGAGAGAGAGAAAGTGTGGGAGTATGTGGGAGTTTGGGAAAGCTGAACTTGATTGTTCTGCAAAATGGCTTCAAGATGTTGGCCCAACACCACTGTAGTTTGATTCCACCCAATAAAATAACCCTCCCAATATCAGTGAAATCTGCATGACAGACATCATAGAACACTTAATTCCAACCCCCGCACATAGTTTTACCCTTTCCATATGTTTTAAACACACCTAAACTTTCGAAAAAAAAAACACTTTTTTAATCTTACAAGCATAAAATGTATAGAAAACACTGAGCGCCTTGTAGCGTTGATGTCCTTGCATGTGCCTTTAAGAGGCGGGGCCAAGAGAGGAGGTATGCGAGTGTCTAAGTGAGAGCAGTGTCCGACAGCAGCTTTTGGACGAATGTGCTGTGTTCTACTGTGCTTTGGTGATTCTGCCTCTCATTTCCCACTTGAAAAGGCACAGCAGTAACAAAGCATACACAAATTCTGCTATGCACAACGTGGCCACCTGGGGGCAGTATAGTACAGTAAGCTGCAATGAAAGTTGTTCTTCGCAGAGGACAAAGAATATATGCGAGCGCGCTCATATGTGAGTATATTGCCGCGCAAATTTTTTACTTGCAAGTCATCGCAAAAATCGCCCAAACGATGGCTCGTAACGTGAAGAACACGTATTCCGGGTCACTCAGATCTCAAGGTACCGATATATTCTGCGGAATATCTTGCAAACCTGTCCGCTTTTGTCTTTTTTTTTCCTCACACCACGGCGCACAGGTGTCTTCCTCATCCCATACTTCCTGTTCCTGGCCTTCGGCGGAATCCCCGTCTTTTTCCTGGAGACGGCACTGGGCCAGTACACCAGTCAGGGGGTCGTCACTGCCTGGAGGAAGATCTGCCCAATGTTTCAGGGTGAGCTAGAGAAAAAAAAAAAATAGTCAAACAAGGCTGAGATTTGTTGAATAGATGAAGATGTGCAGCTGTAGTGGTAAACATTTGTAGACCTTGTGACAAACAAAAAGGGGTGCCTGTTCGCAAGAAATAGTCATGAGTAATGCAACCACGTTGGATATTTTACTGTACTCTTGAAAAAAACATGTGCCAAACAGTTACGGCATCAGCAATTTTTCCACCGCGCGATGTCATCGAATTTTTAGACGTTTTAAATGCCGGAAATTCGATTGGTATTTAATTCTGTGATACTTTTGGCTGCCACTGGAGGGCACCACACTTCTCAAAATGAACACACGGGTCATGACCGCATCATTCTTAAGCTGTTTCTGTCATCGTTCGCACACCAGAACGCATCGTTGGATGTAAGAATTGTTATTATTATTGTCTAATTTGCAAAAATTAACCCAAAAAATAGCTTTGGTGATTGAATGTGATGCAAGATAGAGTTCATTGTCATAGGAAGAGTCTGCATTAAAGCACTTGGGGCGATGGCGGATGTTCTCTTTGTAACAGGCGTTCTAAAAAGCATGTTTGTTGTCAGGTGTGGGAATCGCCTCGCTCATCATCGTCATCTACCTGAACATCTACTACATCGTAGTGCTGGCCTGGGTCCTCTTCTACCTGTTCAATTCCTTCCAGAGTCCGCTGCCCTGGTCCACATGCGACAACGTGTGGAACACCGGTGAGCGGCGAGTAGCGCCTGGCTCCTACGGAACACTCCCTTAATTTTACGGTAAGACGCCCAGGCGCGATTTCCTCATTGCTGGTCTCATTCCCGCAGACAACTGTCACGACCGCACCGGCCTCTACGCCAACCCAAATCTGTTCCACCCCGACGCCAACTGGTCCTTCCTCAACAACGTCAGCACCTACGACTACTTTGAAAACATCAGCAACATGTGAGTCGTGCTTGGGTCTTGCTCGCCTCGAGCTTGAACCCATTCGCCGAGGTCCAATTTCTTCATCTTCGGCTGAGAAACAGCATGAGCAAAGAAAAAAAAAAAACACAAGGGAAAGGTAGCCAAACTATTCTTTTTTGGATCGACACCAAAAAAGGAGAGGTTTTTGGAGCCGTCTGGATTGAGGGGCTCGGGCAGGATTCGGGGTTAGTCGACTATTGTTCAGACTGGTTTTCATGAAACAACCCCTTTTTACTTTTACTTGAGTATTTTGTGTGAGGACGACGCACTCATCTAACCCGAAGCCTTTGGAGAACAAACGGCTTGCTTAAAAATGTTCACATTTCAGCCTATAAGAACTTGAAGTGTAAATACAGGAAAGTCAATTTAAAATAAGTCCTGAGTTGAAAGATTTTTTTTTCCATTGATTTTTTCTTGTATGTGGAGAAAAAAAAAATCATGGAGCGTTGACAGAAATTTTTTTTTAAATTAACCCCACCAAGGTTATTATAGTTCAAGAAAACAAAAATTGAAAACCCCTTTTTGTTAACTAAATAAAATCAACACGAGAGCCCCACTACTTGAAGCAAACGTCACCCATTGCACTTCGTACCGTCATCGAATGTGTGCGACCGATCCAAAAGAAACTCGGCTGGGAAACATTGTGCTGCTCCGCTTTTGCGTCTGTGCGGTAATTGTTGACTCGTCGCCGTCCTTGACTTGCTCATTGTGTGCTTTGCTCCACCTCTGCAGGTCCCTGAATGAATCCTTCTTTATGGTGAAGTCCGCCGAGGAGGAATTCTGGACGTGAGAAAAAAAAAAAGACAACGTGTGGAACACCGGTGAGCGGCGAGTAGCGCCTGGCTCCTACGGAACACTCCCTTAATTTTACGGTAAGACGCCCAGGCGCGATTTCCTCATTGCTGGTCTCATTCCCGCAGACAACTGTCACGACCGCACCGGCATCTACGCCAACCCAAATCTGTTCCACCCCGACGCCAACTGGTCCTTCCTCAACAACGTCAGCACCTACGACTACTTTGAAAACATCAGCAACATGTGAGTCGTGCTTGGGTCTTGCTCGCCTCGAGCTTGAACCCATTCGCCGAGGTCCAATTTCTTCATCTTCGGCTGAGAAACAGCATGAGCAAAGAAAAAAAAAAACACAAGGGAAAGGTAGCCAAACTATTCTTTTTTGGATCGACACCAAAAAAGGAGAGGTTTTTGGAGCCGTCTGGATTGAGGGGCTCGGGCAGGATTCGGGGTTAGTCGACTATTGTTCAGACTGGTTTTCATGAAACAACCCCTTTTTACTTTTACTTGAGTATTTTGTGTGAGGACGACGCACTCATCTAACCCGAAGCCTTTGGAGAACAAACGGCTTGCTTAAAAATGTTCACATTTCAGCCTATAAGAACTTGAAGTGTAAATACAGGAAAGTCAATTTAAAATAAGTCCTGAGTTGAAAGATTTTTTTTTCCATTGATTTTTTCTTGTATGTGGAGAAAAAAAAAATCATGGAGCGTTGACAGAAATTTTTTTTTAAATTAACCCCACCAAGGTTATTATAGTTCAAGAAAACAAAAATTGAAAACCCCTTTTTGTTAACTAAATAAAATCAACACGAGAGCCCCACTACTTGAAGCAAACGTCACCCATTGCACTTCGTACCGTCATCGAATGTGTGCGACCGATCCAAAAGAAACTCGGCTGGGAAACATTGTGCTGCTCCGCTTTTGCGTCTGTGCGGTAATTGTTGACTCGTCGCCGTCCTTGACTTGCTCATTGTGTGCTTTGCTCCACCTCTGCAGGTCCCTGAATGAATCCTTCTTTATGGTGAAGTCCGCCGAGGAGGAATTCTGGACGTGAGAAAAAAAAAAAACAAAAACACGCTTACACCCCCCCACACAAGTTCACACTCATCCGCAGACACCATTTCTTTGACAGCACGAGGTAAACATAAGCGGCTTTCGGCAGCAAAGTGTTCCTCGCCCGCCACATGCAATCGCTTATGACGCCGCATCGAATGTAAACATGGACGCCAGTTGCGCAACTTGGAAGCATTTTGATGTGATCCAGCTGCTCGCCGCCAGCGCGTTGTTCTTTCAACGTCGCAACGCCCCGCTGCACATGCTCTGTTGGATCGTTGCGGCATGTGCCCTTGATTGATTGATTGACAGGCGCTTTTTTTTCTCTCTCGCTCTTCCTGCGCAGCAATCGGGTGTTGAGGATGTCTGAGTCCATGTCCCTCGGCAAGGTGCACTGGGACCTGGCGCTGTGCCTGCTGCTGGCCTGGGTCATTTGCTACTTCTGTATTTGGAAGGGGATTAAAAGCATGGGAAAGGTATGTGGACATAATCGTCAGCGCCCATGAGCAAGTTTCACTTTGTCTATTATTAGTAGAAGTTTAAAAAAAAAAAAGTCTTCAGAAGCCACACTGAAAAAGACACAGGAAGTGTGGTATTTTGGTTTGACATGCCCATTCTCGGGTCATTTTCACGGTTCAGCGGCCGCTTGGAATTGTCTCTTGAAAAATGTCAGCCTCTCAGGCCCGTCTCGCTTTGCGATTTTGAATTTGGGAAGCATGTCTGTCAAGCACGAGACACACACAAACACACACACACAGAAAAAATTGGCCCTGCTATGAGGAGGCTATTTTGCGGAGTCACTTTCAAAGACGAACAAATTGCTCACAAATGTGAACCATGTGCACTTGACACACGAGTGCCTTTAACCCGTTCAGGGACGGCGGTGACGACAGTGACAGGCCTAGCATGTCATCAGCTTACAGGTTATCATTACTGGTACATGAAAGGGTTAAATCACCAAAACGGGTTTCATTTTTTTTGTTGCTTTTGGTGGGTGTGCGAGAGCCCGTTAAATATTTGACACGCGACGTTGCAGGTGGTGTACGTGACGGCGACCTTCCCATACCTGATGCTCATCATCCTCTTCATGCGAGGGGTGTCGCTGCCCGGTGCCAGCGAGGGCCTGAAATACTACCTCTTGCCCGACTTCAGCAGGCTGCTCAGCGCCGACGTAAGAAGAAAAAGGGAAAATATCACATTTGAAGAGCAAACATAACCTACGCGGGGCCCCTTCGTGCGACCGGCGCATGATGCGGTCCTTATCCGTTTCTCCTTCCTGCCTCGTTTCCGCTCCCAAGCTTTTCCTCCTTAACAAGAAAAACAAACCGAGAAAGCAAAAGCGAGCTGGGATCCGTCAAGCGCATTTAAGCAGCACCCCCCCTCCCCACCCCCCAGGTTTAATTCATTTTATGGGCGCAAAGCGCACGAGCGCGGGTGTCGTCAGTATCGAGATGCGTGTCCGGTCCCGCGGGGGGAATACCGAGCTGTACTGGGATGGATGGTTGGCATGCTTGAGCACAATAGGAACATGTGTTGCTGGATATTAAAAGCGGAGTGTTGCCGTCTTGAAAGCAAGCGTTAGGAGTCAGAGGTCATCACCCCGTGGCGGTCATGCCCGCGCGGACTTCCTCTCGCTATCTATAGATTCTCGTCAATTCTTGTGAAAAAAGACGTCTGGAATTAACATGTGCGACATGTTACAAATAGGGACGTTATGCAACGCGGTTCCTTTTCAGGCCGGCTTTTGCTTACGAGGATCAAACATCTGGCCGGGTTCCGTTCCCCTCATGTGAATGTGTCTCCTTTGTCTTGAGTGACTCAGTGGGCGCCCGGGATCGATGTCCCAAAAAAAAAAAAAAAAAAAAAAAAAAAAACAGAGGCAGAACATAACAGCTTCCTCTGTGTGAGCCGAGCGGCCATGTGTCAGCATGTAAATTGCATCCGATTTATTGGTGCCCGTCGCTAATGGCAACCATGTGTTGTCGGCTGGGAAAGCACTCGCGCCGGAGCCGCCGGGATGGAGGCGCCGGTGAAAATGTCGCGCGGGTTGTAAGGAAGGGGGGCGTTGGACAGCTTTGACTACAAAATGGCAAAAAATGTAAATCATTCGCAAAGTTTCGCTATTTCTCCTCTGTGTTATTTACTGATAAAAGTTTTGCCCTGTGTAGGTTTGGCTGGACGCAGGGACTCAGGTGTTTTTCTCCTACGCTGTCTGCCAGGGAGTCCTGACTTCTCTCGGCAGCTACAACAATTACAACAACAATTGCTACAGGTACAAGTGAACCAGCGGTACCACCTCATGTTGAGATTACTGACCGGTGTGCGCTCGCAACAGGGACTGCGTGGCGCTGTGCCTTTTGAACAGCGCCACAAGCATCTTCGCCGGCTTCGTGGTGTTCTCCACGCTGGGCTTCATGGCGTTCAACTTGGACCTGGCGGTGGAGGACGTCGTTCACAGTGGTGGGTCCTGGTTGGCGCTCGGCGGCCTGTTTGTGTTCTGCATTGAACAGAGATGGCAAAAGAATTTCTAGGGCTGGAAAAAAAAGTCAAAGATGAATTTTTTTTATGAACCTGAGCTCACAACAGCCAACGCGACAATCTCATTCGCTGACACCCACGTCACTCACCAAACCAGGCCCTGCCTTTTAAAGCCACAGTCAGATATTCTACATTGGCGTGAGGATGGCGACCCAAGCTGACATGCACATTTTCATGTTTAATAATGAAATCTGATTAATCGATGGTAGGGCTACAGGTATCGATTAATTAATCTATTATTTTGTCGATGAATCAGATTTTTAAAATGACTTAATTTCCATTGCTTGATTCAAATAGCAACAAAAGATTCAGTGTAGTGATTCCTTGGCACTGGTATTTATGTCTTACTGCGTCCGTCCCCAAGGTCCCGGTTTGGCCTTCATCGCCTACCCCAAAGCGCTCTCAATGCTACCCGGCAGCACTTTTTGGACTGTGCTTTTCTTCCTCATGATGCTCTTCCTGGGTCTGGACACGCAGGCATGTGCCATGCATCCTCATACACTAGGTCTCCTTTTTGAAAAATAAACAAAGAGCTCAACTGTTTTTCTTCACAGTTTGTGTGCGTGGAGAGCTTAGCCACGGCCATCAGCGACCTGTTCCCGAAGCATCTGAGGAGGCCCTGCGCTCGGGAGATCCTGGTTTTGGTGATTGCGGCCGTCTGCTTCCTGCTGGGCCTGCCCCTCGTCACCGAGGTAACGCAGCAATTCAGGCAGCCGCCTGATGGTCAAAGAAAGAAAAGCTAACAGACACCGAAATGTTATTTAATTTAATGTAATTTAAAATAGTTTTTTTTTTTCTTAAAGGGAGGAGTCATGCTCTTCCACCTGATTGACAGCTTCGGGCCGAGCGGGACCAGCCTGCTCATCATCGCCTGCTTTGAGAGCGTCGTCATCGGCTGGGTGTATGGTAGGTGGCTGTGTTGATAATTAATACAAGAGTGATTTTGTATGAAATGATTTGCACTCACAGGTGCGGATCGTTTCTTGGACAACATCGAGGACATGATCGGGTACCGTCCGTTTCCCGTTCTGAAGTACTGCTGGTTGTTCGTCACGCCGCTGCTCTGCGTGGTGAGCTTCCTCGGCCACTTCTCGTTGTTGTCGGCGTCGCATCTGTCTGTCTGACTGACCGACTGGCTTCCAGATCACCATGTTTTTCGATCTGGCCAAGACGCATTCGCTGATGGTGTACGACTACCAGCTGGGCACGTGGGCCTTGGCCGTAGGCTCGCTGCTCATCCTCACGCCGCTCATTTTCATCCCGGCGTTCATCTTCGTCACATTGTGCAGGGTGAGTGCTTGCCACGATCATTTTTGAAAACATTTTCTGATCTTGTCTTCTCACGTCGGCTCGTATCGCCCAACAAGACTCCCCAGAGCATGACGACGCCTTCCAGCGAGCTCCGCCAGGCTCGGCCTCACAGTCCCGCCTTGACGGTGTGCGACTACGTCGTCCACGGGCCTGTCCGAGCGAGGGTGGCGAGAGGAGGCGACGAGAAGATGGCGACGGGGGAAGTCAGCAGCGTTTAAAAGACTCATGGCGTCATGTGGCGTGTTTAGAGTTAAAAGGTTTTCAGGGACCTCTTAGCAGACCCTTTTGTTATTTTACGTCATTTAACACAGCCCAAAACCGGCACCAATTGGCGAAAATCTGGCAAGTAACTGACATGGCCTGAAAAGGTTTCCTATTGGTGCCACAAGATGGCAGTGAAGCACTTCTTTTGTAAATGAAACTCAACTCACTTCAACATTCAATGTGTTTAGAGGTATGAGATCCTTGATTTAAGACCCCCCACAACTAGATGGCGACAGCAAACGTCACACAATCCGCCCGCCATCAGTCCACATTGGTTTGCTTGGACGTTATTAGCCTGTGTTGGAAATGCGACATTACAATGGTGTGCCAACCGCCAAAAAGAAGTGCAGAACAACGAGGACGGACAAAACATTAGGTGGAGTCATGTTTTGTGCTCGTGTTTTTTGCCGTTGCAGGTTCTGTGGAGGACAAATGTCATGACTGTATTTTTCTACATTACAATACTGTTAAATGCAAATTTTCTTAAAAAAAAAAAAAAAAAAAAAAAATGTTGAAAAAAATATTTTTTGTGGGAGGCTGGAACGGATTAATTTCATTTCCATTCATTTCAATGGGGAATGATGAGTTAAGATGTGAGTGTTTTTGGGATACAAGCGCCGTCAATGGTGGCAGAGCATTTTGTCCTCCATTCACTTCTACACAGTTCCCTGACACCAAGACTGCACCAAATCATTAGTTTCATTTTTTTTATTTTAATTTCACAAAAATCAACATTTGAATGGGAATTTGCTACGCTGCATGTATGTTGTATATGTGCCCTGTACTTTATATGATGCTTCAGTAGTTCTGACGTGTCCCTCCTCTGTACTACAAACGTATACTTTATATAACACTTATAACAAATCTCCCCTGCTGTGTGCCACATTCTTTTGAGGTCGATCACGTGTGTGTGTGAGATGTGAATCGGCATTCGATGAGCGCATGCCTCTGTATGTTTAGTTGCGCCACAGTTGACGGAGGATAATTAAGCCTGATTGTGTGCGCTTGTACAAACGCTGGCTTGCCTACATGGACAGTATGTACTGTGCGGGCAATTGTATACATTCTTTTTTATTATTCAAATAAATACCAGAAACACTATGATTATGTTGTCATTGGGCACGTTGGAATTGTTTGGTCATAGATTGGATTACATTGATTGGGCTTTCGCAGAGAAGGCTGATTAACCCTTTGATGGACAGCGGTTGCTACAGTGGAAAGCTTATCACGTTATCAGGTGACAGGGTGCATGAAAGCGTTCATTCGGACGGATTGGAGAGAATGATAACGCAGCAGGTAGAAGAAATGGAAAACTGACTGTCACTTACAGATTATAGCTGGCTCCATATTTTCACTTCCTGTCGGTGTGATGGCCGCGCATCCCAATTCTTCTGTTCCTAGGAGAAGATAAACATTTCGTATTATTTATGAAGTGGCACTTTTTCCTCACAGGGCTAAACATAATCATTTTTTTTTTTGCAGACATATGCAATTCATTTCCCTGCCTATTTTCATCCCAACTATACACACAATTTCCTCTCAATTTACACAAACATAAAGCATCTCCAATTTCCATCACGGAAGACGAATGAGCCGTCTCACAATGCGCCGGCGCGCTGACGTGTGGATGAATTTTTCAACTGACAAGATGAAATCCCATCGAAGGCGCCTAATGAGGCCTTCCCCTCTTTATCGCCGTCATCACGCACCAAGATGGCCGCCCGGTTTGCGGCTGTCAGAGCCGGTTTCCATCTGTGTTGTTTACTAGGCCGCCGATCGATGCGGCTTAATTTTGATTCTCCCGAGTGTCGCCGGCAAAGATAACGAGGGGCGATGACATCCTGAAGCCGCTGTCGAAAGCAAAATTAAAGTCAAAGCGACGACTGCCGTCTTGTGATGTTACGACTTGTGAACTTTTACTTTCCACAGTTGTCCAAATATTATTGCGCTAATTTCCTCCCTTCAGTCTCCTCTTCAGGAGGTAAAATGCAGGACCTTCCACTTTTTCCTCCCCTGATGAAGCCCTTTGTTGCCTTGGCAAGTGTGTTTTGGTCTTGTTGATATTGTTGCATGATGAAGCTTCTCTTGGTTAGTTTAACATTTTTCTGTGAACTGCCGGACAATATGGTTTTGTGGGCTTCAGAATTCATTGTGCTGCTACGAGTGTCAACCACACACATACAGATACACCCATGACACACCATGTGCCACCATTCTGCGTGTATGTGTGTGTGTGTGTGATCGGCATATCCCATATGCCCGCAGGCGGTCCCGGGCACTGAGCTGTAATCAAAGCAGGCACACAGGTCGAACTTTATTAGCAGCCACTCGATAGCCGCGGCTAACAAGGACAACCGGCAGCGCGCCGATACGGCAGAGAGAGAGCGGGAAACGTCGGCGAGGTCTTGTCGGGGAGCGGAGAGCCTCCCGTGGGCCTGAGGAGGCAGCCCCAATTGACACTTTTTTTCCATGACCTTTTGAATCAAGTTGCGGTGAAGGAGTTGATGAGGTGGACATTTGCGCAAGGTAAGGCCGTTCTTCCCTTTGACATCCCGCATGGCTGAGAAAGACAAAAGCTTGATTGGTAATGGAGAGCAATCAGAAACTCAGCTTTATCTTATTAGAAGAAGTCACTTGACACAAGGACGCACGTTCCTTTGATTGAAATTGAATTTACTTTTCGCTCCGACGACCCCCCCCACCCCCCCATCCCATTAAAAAGTAATCCAAATTTCAAAGCATGGATCCTCTGCATGGCTGCACAATGTCTTCTCATGAGCATCAATCAGCATCTACCTATAAATATTGCAGCGATGTGATTGCGCACTCAGTGCGGTGATCAAATGAAAAGTGGCGATGTGAACGTTTTCTAGGCCAATCAATCACCGGCAAATGCTTCCCCCCTCACTGTGCCAACTTTCTGATGCTGGAATAAGTAGATATTATTCACCATCTTTTGTGCTACAAGGTACCCGCCATCTCTCGTGGACTTTGGCAAATTGCTTCGACTAATAATAAACCCAAAGTCACGGAACCCCCCCACCCCACCTCCCCCAGGTCCAGGTGCTAACTAACCTTCAGTTATCGTTTCTTCATAGCTTTTCAGCCTATTTGCATCTGTTGACCGAAGAACCAAAAGCCATCTTGAGAACATCTCCCCGAGCAGGACTTTTTCGCAGAGCCCCAAAAGAATCCACTTTCTCGTTGGCGGTCCCCGCCATGGGCAAGACCGGACAGAGTACGGTGGACTTAAACTCCCCGAGTGACATCAGGCAAGCGGTTCCCTTTGAGCAAATGGCGCACGCGGCGCCCCCTGCGGACCGAGACGAGCCAAAAGAGGAGCCGCCCGACCGAGGCAGCTGGAAAGGCAAGTTTGACTTCCTGCTGTCGTGCGTCGGGTACGCCATCGGCTTGGGGAATGTCTGGAGGTTCCCATATTTGTGCGGCAAGAATGGCGGAGGTAAGTTCTGCTCGATCGAGACCTCGCTTTCACACAACTGATTCGTCTCATTCCCGTCAAGGTGCTTTCTTGATCCCGTACTTTTTGACGCTGGCGTTTGCCGGGATTCCACTCTTCTTACTGGAGACGGCTCTCGGACAATTCACCTCGGTGGGAGGGCTGGGAGTGTGGAAGCTCATGCCGATGATGAAGGGTAAAGATGACGTGAACGTTCCTCCATGACGCAGGGAAGTGAAAATGGTCGAAGTAGAACTGTGGCAAACGTGTTTGTGTCGGCAGGTGTCGGTCTGGCCGCCGTGGTGCTCTCCTTCTGGCTCAACATTTACTACATCATCATCATAGCCTGGGCCCTCTACTATTTGTTCAACTCCTTTGGGTCGGTACGTTCGAAGGAAGACTTCCGCCGAGACTTTCGTTGCCCGGGTTCAGATTTTTTTTTTCTGTTTCCGTGTGTGCAGGAGCTGCCCTGGCAAAACTGTGACAATCCCTGGAACACGGCGAAGTGTTTCTGCAACTACAGCCTGACGGACACCACCAACCTGACCAGTGCTGTCACAGAGTTCTGGGAGTGAGTCTCCGTGGTCTTTTCCCTTCCAGAGAGATTTGGACACTGCGGCTTTGCGCAATCGGGATAAATCCACGGACGTCAGCGGATTTTGGGAGTGACTCTAACATCACTTGTTGGTGTTTTCCAAGGCGTAACATGCACCAGTTATCCAGCGGTCTGGAGGAGCCCGGGGAGCTCCGTTGGCCCCTGGTGGGCACCCTGGCGCTCGCTTGGGTTCTGGTCTATTTCTCAATCTGGAAAGGAGTGGAGTGGACGGGGAAGGTCAGACTTTTATTGTGTCGTTCAAAATGACGGGCAGGCGCAAATGAAATTAATTTTTATCTTCTCTCGCTGAAGGTTTAACTTTGAGAAATGTCAACCACTAAGGATGAGGTGGAGAAAATGTCACGCGGTGTTAATTGGAAACGATGGAGATGATAGAGGCAGATTTCAGACTTGGCTAAAGGATCCACAAAACTTTTCTCTCCATTCAGGTGGTGTATTTTTCGGCGACCTATCCCTACTTTATGCTCTTCATCCTGTTCTTCCGCGGGGTCACCCTCCCGGGAGCCATCGACGGAATCCGTTTCTACATCACCCCGGACTTCAAGAAGCTCATCAGCTCTGAGGTAAAATGTCCTCAATACACACGATTCAATTTCTTGCTTGGTCTTGTCCGAAAATTGCACATTGACAATTTTACGTCCCACTTTTGTGTCTTTAGGTGTGGCTAGACGCCGCCACCCAAATCTTCTTCTCCTACGGCCTAGGCCTGGGCTCGCTCATCGCACTGGGTAGCTACAACAGCTACAACAACGACGTCTACAAGTACGGACCGCATCTCGACATTGTACGCCGACGGCCATTTTGTTTCCCGCTGCCGACCGCGCTATCGTCCATTCCAGGGACTCCATCATCGTGTGCTGCATCAACTCCTGCACCAGCATGTTCGCCGGCTTTGTCATCTTCTCCATCGTGGGCTTCATGTCGCACATCACAAAGAAACCTGTTCAGGAGCTGGCTGCTTCGGGTATTCGACGGACGCGTTGGGACTTGTTCAGCTCCGAGTGGCGCTAATGGAGTGTTTGTGAAATAATAGGTCCTGGCTTGGCGTTCTTGGCGTACCCACAGGCGGTCACGCAGCTGCCCATGTCATCTCTGTGGGCCATCCTGTTCTTCTCCATGCTCATGATGCTGGGATTGGACAGCCAGGTACAAACAACTCACAGGGCAAAGAAAAAAAGACAAGCCAATAACCCTTCTTGCCGCTTTCCAATCAGTTCTGCACGGTGGAAGGCTTCATCACAGCTCTGATGGATGAGTATCCCTTATTGCTGAGGAAGCGGAAGAAGGTGTTCATCTTGGTGGTCTGTTTCGTGTCCTTCATCATCGGGTTCTCCAACATCACACAGGTACACCATATGACAAAACAACCCCGGTAGGTGCTACATTTTCCCCGCGTGTCTTCCAGGGTGGCCTGTACGTGTTCAAGCTGTTTGACTATTACTCAGCCAGCGGAATGTGCCTCCTCTACCTCGTCTTCTTTGAGACCGTGTCCATCGCCTGGCTTTACGGTAGGAAGCATCCGGGGCCGGTGGCAATTTCTCATCTTTTTGCCCTGACGTCGATTTTGATGGCGCAGGCGCCGAGAGTTTCTACGACGACATCGAGGACATGATTGGCTACCGACCCTGCGTTTGGTGGAAGCTGTGTTGGAAGTTTTTCACGCCGCTCATCTGCCTGGTAGGCGGACAGGAAATGATTTCATTGACTCGACCTCTGTGACACCAATCTGTCACTGTCTTGTTGTCACTCAGTCAAACTGGTGACGATCAATATGTCTGGTACTGTTGCGGTCGAGAAACAACAAGAGAAACATTGATGGGCAAAATACAACTACTTCCAGGAGGTCCTTGGTACTATTCAAACATTGGAATCAAACATCCAGCTTCCTTGGGGGTAGCTAGCTCAGAGAGATTCAAAACACAGTTAGCGCTAGCATGCTAATAAGTGGCTAGCATGCATGCAAATCAAACACCCTAACATCTTAACAGAAACACATGGTTAGCCTAGCCTAAACTGCAAGCCAGCTAAGGATGGACAGGATTAAACTTTCACATTTTCATGAAAATGTCAAACTAGAAGAAGAAATGTGAAGGGTTTCTGAATGAAAAATGACAACGGTATGGAATGCTAAACATGTAGGGATTTTTTAAACATGAAACCGCGGCAATTGGCTTGCTAGCTTCGCCTAGCTGCTAGCCTGTTCTGGAAAGGTTTGACCCGCCGCATTCATGTTGAATAAAAAGTCCAAATAAATCAGATAAAACATTGCCATTGTACATAAAAATGCAAAACAAAAAAAAAAACATAAAATAATGTCAGCCCAGCGTCGTCTGTTTACGTGCAGGCTTGACTCCAAATGAATGCAGTGTTGTCGCATCACATTCCCCGTGTAAGTCAAATCGCTTTTATTTCAGGGTGTGTTTACCTTCAGTGCAGTGGAGATGACGCCGCTGACTCTGGGCAAGTACGTGTACCCTGTGTGGGGCCAAACCATTGGCTGGTTCATGGCCTTGTCGTCCATGGTCCTCATCCCGGGCTACGTGGTCTACATGCTGTTCACCACGCCGGGATGCATCGAGGAGGTACAGTGTCACTCTCGCCCGCTTTCTCTCCCTACTTGGAAATGACGCAGGAGGGGGGTGAACAGAAACAAATATTGCTCTTTTGTGACCTTCAGCGCTGGAAGAGGATGACGACGTCGCAGCAGGAAGTCAAGCCACCGGGTCACGACGTTTTTACGCACACTGGGAATGTTGGTGAAGCCCTCGTCTAGCCCACCCTTCTGTCATCCCTGAAATAATAATCATGCCGTCACAGCGGATTTAGTGACACTTGGATGTATTTTACTCGGGCATTTTACAGCTTTAAAAACAAGGAAATTCTGTCAATCATTGCGATTCTCGGCCATCATACAGTAATGCGATACTTTAGCATATATAACAATGTAGGCCATACTTGGTGTTTTTGACGACATAAACGGACAAAAAAGCAATGGACGCCACATTTACAATGTTAGACGCCCGTAAATATGTTGTCAGCAAATTGTGTTTTTGGTGTGCTGAATGTGTGGTAATACAATTAAAAAAAAAAAAAAAAAAAAAAAAAAAAAAAAAAAAAAAAACCTAAAATAAAAATCAGGACAGAAAATTATTGTTCGATTTCTCCGGTGTGCTATCATGAAGTGTCCTGTACTATTTGAACACTCCAACTCGCTGTTATGTATCTTAATACTTGAACCTGAATGCACTGTAATTGAACACTGACATAAAATGGCGACAGATAAATATTCATACTCTTGAAAAAAAATTAAATCAAAATAAACCCCTCCAAGAATCGAGCATAGCAAACACAGACGGACTTGAATGATGTTTAATAGCATGTTGATATACTGCAAAGACAGTTCAAGAGAAGAATTCACCCGCGGGAAGTGATGGCTCATTTCTCTCACACTCCCTTATCGTTAACTTTTTTTTTTTAAATTAATTAAATGTAAATTCCCTAACATGGTGTCATTACGTCATTCATGAAGCAGTGCACTTGTATATATGGGAGAGCCCTTTGGTCGGTGTCCTGTCGTAGGTGAAAGTCAGCCACTCGCGGGACTCCTTAAATGCTACATTGGTTGCCATGGTAACGTCCCGTACACGCACACACGGACATAAAGCATCTCCCAAGGAAACGAGACAGTTAAGGAGGGGCGGCGGGGGGAGAAAAAAAGAACCTGACATTACCACTCACACACTTGTTTCAATCATGCACATGGGGCCAACATGCAAAACAAATGAAAGAGGAACAAACGCTTTTTAACGTTATGTTTTTCAAACCAATGAAAATAAATCAACCAAAGTGCTCATTCTTGCTATTTTATGGTACCTTGGCGTGTTGATGCGATGCGAAAATCTCTCGAAATAGCACAAAGAGCTGCAATAACGCTGATATTGTGCCGATGCATTAAGCAGGATTTGCTCATTTCTTTTTTTTTTTCTCATTCTCTTTTTTCCCCCACTTTTAAGTCAATGTGATGTTACCGGTGAATAAAACAGGCGCCCAGAGTTAAAAAAAAAAAAAAAAAAAATCTGCCTGGTGGCTGACAGCTGACTGGTCGGGTCTGGGAGCTCAAGCTCACTTGGGGCATTTTTGTTTTAATGCATAAAAGATGAGGAGCGGGGCATCGAATGACCCGTTTCAGAGTGAGGGTCATGTGATTATTAAAAGGCTGCTTGTCCTTTCCGACATCTTTAGGATGTGATATTTACAATCGGCGCTCGAGGAAAAGAGATCAGATAACACCCTGCTTATTATCATCAGCATTTTCTAGCTCTAGCGTGAGGGGCTGTTGATGATCCATTTTGTTTTTCTTGCTTTTTGGGGATAAATGTCAGGCTACAAAGATAAGCAGGAGATATGAGAAGACAAAACACGCGGAAAGTGAGTGGCAAAACACGCACAAAGGCTTAGAAAAAAGAAAATAAACGGGGAAATTCGAGATTGCCTGAAAAAGCGAAGAAGTGTCATCGTCCCCCTACAAGAGAAACTTGGCGGCCACAGTGCGTCTCACTTTTGAAAGTCTGGTGAATATAAGCAGTCCATTTCCTGGAGAAGCGAAAAAAAAAACCCCAAAGTAGCAGCCAGCGTGGCAGCCGTGTCCATCCATCCATCATGAATAAATGTTTGGCTTTGCAAATGTCACTTTTTTTTTTTTTGGCACAACAGTCGCAGGTGAGGATATTTCCGCTCTTTGTCCATCCACAATTTGAGCTCCAGTTAAAAAGGTGTTTTGAAAATCAAGTCACATGTCATCTACACATGACGTTGCTTGGTTTTTCTTTTTCAAATCTAAGCATATTTTGCTAAATATAATTATAGAAGTATTTTCGGTATTCTTCCGATGATATCTTTCATCTGTATGTACATTTGTACTGTTAAATGGCGTGAGTGGGGTGAATGACATGAAATCTATTTACACCATGCTCCGAGAGCCGCTAGGGGTCCGATGTAGACTGAGGCGGGGGTCGGGGGGGATGTATTGGTGCGGGTGGTTGTACGGCGGCGGCGGCGGCGGGAGAGGGGGTTGGTGGCCGTCGCTGCCGCCGCCGCCGCATTGCGAGGCGTCGGGCGAGCGCAGCGGCGTGGACGTGGCCGACTGGCTCAGCTGGTAGTGCTGGTAGTAGTGGTGCGGGTGGAAGTGGGGGAGCGAGTGCGGGCGGGGGTCGGGGGGCGCGTGGCTGAGGAATGCCTCCATGCGGGCGTGGCCGCCGTTGTCCAGCATGATGACCTTGACGATCTGCTGACACTGGATGAGCGCCTCGGGCCGCAGGTCGGCCACGCTGGCGGCGGGTTGGGGGCGTGGCCGCTGGGCCGGGGTGCTCAGGTGTTGGGGCGAGGCGGCGAGCCCCGGGTGGAAGAGCAGCTCCCCCCCGTGGTTAAGAAGACCCGCGTTCTCGGGACTGCTGCTGAGCTGGTACGTCTGAAGCCTGTTGTGAATTGACACCTAGTTTAGAAAACAGCCAAGAGAACAGCATCAAATGTTATCAAGCTGGTTCCTCCGCTACGATCCGTCAAGCCCTCTTTATTCTTTTTTTTTTTTTGAGGGGGGAGGGTGAAGGTGGTGGTGAAGTCAGAACACACACACGCACACACGTGGGGGGGGGTGGGCTTGGTGCGGTCCTCCGTGGATGCTGGCAACACTGATGGGAGTTGTGCGTGAGGGGTGGGGGAGTGAGTGAGCCCGGTGGTTCCAAAGGGGACACTGAGGGCACCTGCATCGCCCTTCCAAACCACTGTGTGGCGCTATGCGGGAGGGGACAGCGGACACGAGGATACTCGGGGGAGGGATATTGAGTGGAGGGAACCAGAACATGTGCGGTTGGTAGAAGAGGAGGGGGGGAAGCACACAAGACGTCCAACAAGCAACGAGGCACGATGCACAAGTCACATGATTCAGACTATTCTTTTATATTGGATGTGCAGCTCGTCTCGGAGATGATTTTTTTTTTTTTTTTTGCAGTCAAGACAAAGTCGATCAATCCATGACATAAGAGCGCACTGCAGCGGTGGCAAACCTCTCTTGTGTCACAGCGCAATTTCACCTCAAGATAGAGCATCCAACCGATAAAGTTCTCATCACCAGAGTTGGAACAGTTTGGGATTTTGCATTCTACAAAGTAGTAAGTCCTAATCCCGTACCGGTAATTGGTTCGAACCTTTATAATTCAGAACAAGAACACGATAATCATCCAGTCCTTAAGCAGACCTTCCTGGGAGTGTTCCGTCAATTTTGGAACGTCGGATCCAAGATGGGTGAGGTCATCCCTTGACGGCGTTCCGATCATCTTCCAGCGCAAATGACTGGGAGTGGCTTTTACACAATCAGCCAGGGTAGGTCCAAGATTGGATCCGCAGGCAGGTTTTCATGCCGGTAATATTTCAGTTTTTCAGGGCGGGTTAATGGTCTCAACTGCGTTTGGCGGCTCCTCGGCAGTTATTGATCCTTCAAGGTAATGACCCCTGTGATATTTATTCCTGCTCAGGTCTTCATCTACTATTCTATAAATCGGTTTTGACAAGCTTGTTGACTCCTTTGTGGACAGCCGCGATTCCTTTCCGACAACAAGCTGCTTGGAGAGGATTCTGACAGCGAACCGATCAGGTACTCGTTTTTTCTTTCCCCGCCACTTTGCGAACATGAGCTGATTGTCCGTCTCGTCACGTCGCATCAGCATCGGCGAGCAGCTGTTTGGTGACTTTGCACGGCAACTTCCTCCAACTGCGGACGGGATGAAAGGATGGAGACCGAAGAGCTGCGCTGTGCACTGCGGCGACGGCCCGACAACCCCACCCGCCGGCAACCCACTTCCTCTCCTCTCCTGGACAAATGCGCTGTGACAGCTAACGTTTCCTTCGCACCGGCCCGCTGACATTTACCGCAGCGGCCTGTGTGGAAGGACGGAGAGGACAATCTCTCACAATGAGAATCATTTGAAATCCCAAATGAAATCAATTGCCCCCCCCGCAAAAAAAAAAAAAAAAAGCTCAATATCTAATTAAGCCACCAGGAAGACAGGGCCGAGTTATATTCAATGTCAACTTGAGGCTGCATGCGCGTCCTCTGCCTCCGGGGGGCGCACCGCCGCAGAGAAGCAGAATGGGAAAAGGTCATCCTGTAGCGACAAAGCCTCCAGGATAATGTAGTCGAGATGGCTTCTGTTTGCACGAGATGCTTGTCCAGGCCTTTGGATGAGTGGAAATAGGGGATCCAAATGCATTTGTTGTTGTTGGTGGTGGGTTTTTTTTTATTGGTGTCCCTCTTAATTTGATGCTCATGCATCTGTGTATATATTTTGTATCGATCCGGGTTCCTCCTAACTACGCTAGCTTGAGCACTTACCTGTCGTAGGGGGCGTGGCCTTGTCGTTAAGCACTCACCTCCACGGCATTTTGTCCACTTCTGTCCTCCGCCTCCTGGTTTCCTGAAGCCACATTGTTACATTAATGCCGCTAACATGTTGCGTAGGTCCCAACCTTTACTGAGCCAAGGCACATATTTTAAATGACAAAAATCGCAGAGCACATTGCGCGAGACAACAACACATATTAAAAAAAACAAAACAAAAAAACAACACTCACCCGCAATTTTTTCCATCATGTTTTAAAATAAAGTCTTAAGAGAAATAGCCTTCTCCAGTTTTGTAATTTATAAAGTAATTATCATGCTACCACATCAAAGTGAATTTTGCTAGCACGTCTACGCCGTTTTGTCATGCTAACACACAAAGCTAACAAGCTCTTTTCTCCTTTAAAATCGGTGGCGTAGTCGAGCTTCATATTACCTACCTGCCGAGTCACCGTGTTTTCCCCGCAGCTCCAGTTGCGTGCCGTTGTTGATCGGCTGCGTCTTGGACCCCTGCTGCTTCTCCAGCTCCCCTGAAGTGAGCCAACGAGAGCATAAGACAAGCACCGCCGCCCCCATCCTCATCAGCATCATCGCGGCGGCATTGCACGGGCGTCGACGTGCACCGCCCACGCCGCTCACGGCGTGGCTCTTTATCGCGGTAATTAAACGCCACAGTTGATGCTAATTGCACGTCGCCGCCAATCACGCTGACTATGCAATGTTGTTTTGGCTTCAACGTCCCCTTATTGAAGTTCTGGGTTGAAGAAATAAATAAAATCTTACACTCGATGCGGATCTGCTCCATCTCCGAGACCTCGGCAATGGACTCCTTCAGGTCCTCCACAAATTTGAGAAGCTCCTCGGCGCTTTGTGCGCAGAAGTTGAGCACCTGCTTCTTGTCGGAGCCGAACGGCGACAGGATGGTGATGCCGTGAGGGTAGTCTGACCGGGCGGGGGGATTAATTACGAATTAAAAGCAAATTCCAGTGTGCTCAACAAATGCAGATACCGTGACTCACATTCATTGTCAAATAAGTGGAACTGCATGCCGAGAAGGCCCAGGGCTTTGCAGAACGTGTAGGCCGCCGAACTCTTCTTCTTTGGACAAAGCTTTAATATCTATGGATGGTCAAAAAAAAAAAACTTTCAAGAATTGTATTCAAAATAGAGAAAATGTATTTGTCTGTTCTTGTGGTCCAAATAGAACGATTTTACTTGACACGTTACATTGACAACTTTGAATAAAATGTATTTACCTGGCGTCAATTTGAAAAATAATTGACTTTCAGAACAAACCAAAGCTTTGTTCCCCGATGAAATGCAATCATTGCGACTTTGTGGTGACATTTCTCTCACTTTTCGGACACGAGCAAGGAACGTCTCATGAGAATTCATCCCACTGCTAACTGGCCATGAAAACGATCGGCACGAAATGTGCCTTTTACCCTTTTTTTTTCTTGCAGCCGCTAATTATGAGCACGCCACTTTCGTCCTCCCCTTTGTGTGAGATCAGCATTTTGCATAATGACGGCTGCCGAACGACTTTGAGACGATAACCCCGCGACGTGACTCCTAATGAGAACAATAATTATGCCCGACACAAAGTCTTTGATTTGCGCCGTGGCCCGAATCAAACATTTTTTTCCCGCCGCACCTTCCAGCTGCTCTGCGGGGGGAGCAGATCTTTCCTGCTCTACTTTATGAGAAGAAACACATGCAGAGATGTCCAAATTAAAAAGAGGTGTCACAACAGTATAAGAAGCTTTCATGCGCGCACTCGACGCGGGGAGGGAGGTTGAAGCCGTCATTTGTCAGGCGGAATCCGCCAGGCGTGGAAAAGTTCGACGTGTCTTTAAAAGTTACCACAATGAGATCGTTGAAGAGGAACACTTCGCGCTGGTGCGCCGCCTGCTTCTGGGCCTTGTTGACGTCCGTCACCTCGAAGAGACGGCTGCAGCACACCAGTCGTCTGTGAGGCACCGACAGCACCTGCGGACACGTTCAGGCAAAACTAATCAATCCCCGCACGCCACAGTGGAGACTTAACTGTTAAAAAATAAATAAATAAAAAAGATACTGCCTCATTTCTGCTACTTGGCAGGATGGAAGAAATGTTGACATCAAGTGGAACTAGTCTGCTAATGAACACTAAGAATATTTTTGGTGAACTGAGCAATGCTTACTCGTGAATGTATTTTATTTGTAATTTTACCATCGCAGCTCCCGGCGTCCATTTTAAGTTCATACCAGCCCACTTGAAGATACATAAAGACGATAGGAGGCGGCGGCGGCGTCTTCCTTGCTTCCTCTTCTTGCTCTAATCCGACTGCGTTGATTGTGAGCCGTGTGGGTCCCGTCACGGTGCTCGATTAAAAGGGGTCACGTAAAGGTTTATCACAACACAGGCTTGGCTGCACAAAATTGCCTTTGCGGTGTGCTCCAATCATATCCTCGGATAAAAAGGAAGCAATGGAAAAGGGCTGTCACAAGCACAACCGGCTCTCATTTGTGATTAGATCAGAATGTACGCCCGGCATTTCCGCTTTTCATTTTTCCGCCAGCACCCCTGCGGATAATTTGCACAACCTTCTGCTTGTCGCCGCGGGGATGGTGCACATTTCCTGCTCGCCTCTTTTTTTTTTTTTTTTTTTTTTTTACATCTCGGCTCATGTCAGAAGAGGCATGTGATGACATCATTAGCATGAAACCCGACAGTGTTATGATGAATTTATATGACCGCCCGGAGTTTGTCCTAAAGAGACAGTAATGTTGTATTTACCATGCGGCAAATATTTGAGACGCAGCGAGGACTGAGCTTTAATCAAGTCTTAAAATATTCATACCCGCCAAACTTCCATGATGGAGAAAGCCATTGCAGTGAACTCCCATTTATACGTTTTGGGCCCATCTGCAATTCATGTAAATTCCAGATGTCGAGAGACCACATCATTCTTCCACATGCTTTAAACACCAAACTTATGAAAGCATACTTTTTAAAGTATTCCTCGGTGCCTATTCTACATCTCGCGCTCGCATCGCTCTCCTAATAAGATGCAAAAAAGGCTTGCTTCAAGGAATCTATTTGTCACTCCCATTTGAAGTTTAAAAACAAACAAAAGGGACTTGTAGCCCGCCCACAATAAACTTTTTTTTTTTTCCTCCTGCCTTTTGTGGAGCTGACAGCTCCTTGTGGGCAGGAGGAGTCACTTCCTGTCTCAACGATCCATCATTTGGGGACTCTGACTACGCTCCCTCTCTGTCATCCGTTGGCTACCCATCCATCACTGACACAGTTGCGGGAGGGGAGGGGGCGTGCGAGGCCAAATCGCAGCAGCAGGCGGTGGGGCGAGGAAGATGGCAGCAATCACAGTCTCAATGTCATTGAGAAAGTCGACAGGAGGGGAGCGAGAGTAACTTTTTCCTCCGAGTCGTCGTTGAAAGGGAATAAGAGGAGGTGAAGAGTTCAGAATGTTGTACTGCTGTTGAGTTTGAAAGCCCTCAGCATGCTAGGCGAGAAGATATGGCTAAAGTGATGTTTGGCTCTGAAAAAAAAAGACGACCTTGCTGCATTGGAAGGGGAACACTACACTAAGAACACTTAACTACATATCCTCACACTATTCGTGCTTCTGTTCTCGACCACAAAAGCAGCACAGGTACAGGTATCTATTCAGGCTCTAGAAGCATTCAAAACATCTCACCCAAAACGGTCGGGAAGCATTCTGAGGCGAGTGGCGCTTGCGTAACGAGTTCGAGGTACTCATTTGCCTTCTAATGGATAACAAATGCGCTCCGCTAACACTACTTAAGCTAGGTGATAGTGATAAGGCCTTGAGTGATGACTGACTGGGCACGGAGAGCGCGTGAGTGCCGGCACTTGTGATAAATCGTCGTCAGGCACTCGGCTACGGCGCCGCTCGACGGTTGTTGTCCAAGAAATGAGGCAGAGAGCAAGACGGGGGGGACATGGAGGAGGGATTTGTGTCTCCTCACCGTTTTCATGCCAACGATGGATTGCTCCACCTTGGAGACGTAGGTGACGTGGTCCTCGTTGGAGCGCAGTTCTCTCATCTGTATTCTCTCGTAGATGCCCACCACCATGTCACGGGGGATGTCCGCCCCGTCGTCCACGCCTGAGAAAGTGGGGGACAAATGTTGACACACACGCAATGTACCTTAGTGGCAACCTTACATCAATGTCAGATGATTATTACTAAACAAGATTTTATTTCCTTTGAAGACAACAAATTCCAACCATCTATTTTTAAAGTCCTTGAAAAAAAATGAAAATAAATATGGGGGCTTTTCGCTGAGCTTTTCCACTGCGCAACCATAAGGCACTCTAAAGTGACCAGGTCTGGTGAAGCCGCTGGGCACATGCGGACAGTCAGGTCGATCTTAAAAAAAATAAATAAATCAAAAAGTAATCCGCCGTCTTTCTCTGCACATACTCACGACTGACAATGAGGTGTTCGAAAGCGGCCACGCCAGCAGACGAGCTTAAGCGTTCAACAATTGCGCTTGACGTTTGTTTTTGCTCTTTATTTGGACAAAAATGTGTAAAAAAAATTAAAAATACAAGAAAACAGACTAATACTCCTCTCCTTCCTCACCTGTCCTTAGTTCACCCTCTGCTGTCTCCATTTAACGATGACAAGGGGTCACGGCAGTGGAGGTTAATAGCCGAGTGAAGGGTTTACACCTGAGCGCGGCACGTGTCAAGCTGCCAGATGTTGCGGTACTCTTCGCTCACCTCTGAATCAAGTTTTAAAAAGCCGATTAGGTCTGTTGAAGCCTTGGATGATTGGTTCAAATTATGTCGGCCTCCAAACTCAAGACAATTAATCAACCTATGTTGGGGCTTGGGGGTGGGGGATCCATGCCCAAAATGAGATTAATAACAAGGGTAGTGGATGGAGAGATGACACAAAAACTCCAAAGACAAATAGACCGGCTGGGACGGCGCGGCATATTTTCATTTGCGTAAAATGCCGGGATTGATTTTTCCGGCTTGATTTAATCACCACGCGCCGCCTGGATGAATTTACTCAAGTTGGTGCACATCGAACTCCCGCGGGCCTGATTGATCGGCACTTTGTGTCGCGTACCTCTGAGGTTGCGTATGAAGTCCTCCAGCAGCATCTTGCGGTCGGGCTTGATGTTGGGACTGTACATGTCGGTGTTGAGCAGAATGATGGCGAAAGCCAGGATGAAGATGGTGTCGGGGTTGTGGAACTGCTGCACCACGTCGGGGTTGCACATACAGTAGCGCTGGCTGCAGAGAGGCACGAATAGAGACCGACGGCATTCGTTAGAATGTCGAATGCACGCTTTGGCCACAACACAAATAGCCTCGGCAGTCAACAAACAGGACGACGACAATGACACAAAATAAGACTTTTTTTTTCTCTGCAGCCTGAATAGGAACGCATTGCATGGAATTCACACCATTACCGTGCTCCATAATGAGCGCGAATGCTCGACTCGCTCCGAAATTGCGGTACAAGGAAAATAAAAAAATAAAAAAAGGATTGTTTCACACCATTCAAAAGATAAATGGTGTCGGAATATCGTGGAAGCAGATGAAAGCAAGTATGGATTTATGGCTTTCATTTGACGCTAAAATATTCCTCTCTGTGGCTTTAAAGCATATTTGTCCTATTGGGTTGAACACATCATACATCACACGGCGCTCCACCGCGTCCTCGGCGGTAGTTAAACACGTCGAAGTTTTTATGTCAAGTATGTGCACACTCGAAGAGCATATCATACCGGAGCACCGCAAGATTCTAACTCATCGCCAAATATAGTCGGCCAATAGTGTGTCATCAAGAAGTCCCGGTCTAAAAGACTGTTCATGTGCGTGCACCCAGCGGAGAGGGATTATTTTAGTCAAATGGATACAGTATGAAGATTTCCTGGCTCGAGGATAAATAATACAACAGTACAACGGCGTATGAGGAATCAGACAGCGAGTCGAGAATGAAATGTGTGCGTCGTGTAATAGTTAATTTGAGCAGTCATAGGTTGCACACCGAAGGGCGTGGAGACGTTTTACAGGCTTGTTGAGCCGCGCAAAGTCTCTGTGGGATTTATTCGCTCGTTCTGGTATTCATCAAATACACAGATACAAGAGCTAGGCCAGCATTTTTTTTTTTAAAATACAGGATATATATATTTTAATGTGGCACAATAATTCAGGATTTTGTAGTTTTTGGACCATAAGGCGCACTTACCATCCTTTGATTATCTCAAAAATCGACAGTGTGCCTTTTAATCTGGTGCGCCTCGTGTACGGATGTCGACCTTTCAGTTTGTCGCATTCAATTCCGATTCCACTTACTTCGCTAGCAGGCGTCCAGGTTTTTGTCATTTCGGTACTAGAACTACTCCCTGCTTCTGTGCCTAGGAATCGTTTTTTGTTGGGTGTTTTTCGGGGAGGTTGGAACGGATTAATCGTGGTTCCATTCATTTTAGTGGGGGACGATGATGTGTGATAGTAATTTTGAATTTCAAGCATGCCCACAGAAGGAATTTGACTTATCTTAAGGCACTCCTGTATCCAGTATACCGCTGGAGACGCCGCGTGACTAAACCTTTTGTTGTATGCGACATTATGCAAATACACGGCGCATGCAGGAGTGGCACGCACCATTTTGGTCATTCATTTCGGCCACTGACGCAGCAAACGGCGAAGCTGCTGCTACTTCCCATGCCCGCCACAATTTTTTGGGAGATGGAGTCGATGTCCCCCTGTTTGTTTTTAGAGGCTCTTCTGATCTCAGCAGGGAGGGGAAGAGAGTGGGGAGGGGGTTGGGTGCACGTTATGCAACATTGGTTATTTATAAATCCTCAACCCTCTTTTGTTTTTGTGCCCTTTTCAAATCCTTCCCACCCCCCCCTCAGGTTTGTTCCGCTCTCACGCCTCTGCTCTAACACGCAGATGCCCGGGCATTGCCGGTGCCAAGGTCCCTCGCCACACTTTTTGTTTACCTCCTTGTCGTGCACCTCGGGCAACTGTGACAGGTGGCTGTTCAGCCCAGAGATGCCAGACGGCGTCAACTCATGTTTATTTTGCAACCGTGATGGGAACAAGAGGGAAGATCCAACACACAGTTGCGAGTTTCACATTGGATCTTCTGTTTTTTTTTCTTCATTTTGCAAAAATGTAGTAAATTCACAACATACAAGAAAAAAAATAAGTACTGAAAATTCAAAATGAAAAAGGATTTCTGGACATCTTTCCAAATTTACTTGATAAGCGCATGTGAAACCTGTCTGGGTCAAATATACTTGTGAAATGACATTCATATCCTAGCAACAGTGCGCACATCAATTTCAAATGACCTGAAAGCCTCGATGAGACGCTCCACCTTCTGGGCTTCTCCCTGGACACGAATGTGGGCCTGGAATTTCCTCAGCGCGTCGTCCAGCTCCATGCCGGAGAAATCCATCTCGTCCACCACGCAGCTGTGGAGGTAGCGTCGGATGAGAGGAGGCGCGGAGTGAGCCAAACGTAATCAAGTGTGCGTCAGCACGACGGGATCGATGAGCCCGGGGGATGCAGACTGGAGATAAGGGCTCCCTAATTCAACGCGCCGCACACTCGCACGCCGAGGAGGAGGAACGGAGGAGGATAAAGATGCAGCTGGCAAGCAAACATGTGGAAATCTCCCCGAGCGGAAAATCCTCCTCGCACCTGACAACTCAATCTTAATTACCTTAATTAAAAAATTTAAAAAAAAAGGAAAAAGTTTGTGACATGAGTTCACAAGAAGCTGGCTACAAATTGGTTCAGGTGAAATGAGGTTTGCAAGTTTTAATGGACTTGAGAACTCATTTGCTTGGTTTTTTTCTTGCGCTTTATTCAGCCATAAGTATGCATTTTTGTTTTCTTTTAGACATTGTCATGTTTTGTTTGTTGTAGTTATCTGCAAATATATATACTGTATATATTGAGGATTGAATTGATGAATTGATTCTTTTACAGTGTATATATTATCTATACCATATGTTGTACAAGCCTCAAATTCACTTCAATTTTTTGAAAATGTATTGGAGTGTAGATTCGTCAGCCTACGGAAGAGTTTTCCGTTTTAGTTTAATATGACTGACCTGAACCTCCAGCCTAAAGCAAAACCCACGTTGATTTTCCGCTTTTGGTGAAGCTTTAAATCCATTCGTGTTCTGACTGTACTGGCGAGCGAGTGCTAACCTAACCTGGGAGCGTTAGTCTGAATCCCCCTCGATGTGTTTTAAATGTTTTGGAACAAAGTGTGTAGCTAATATTGTGGCTTTTTAATGTCTGATCCGACTCGACAGACTCCTCGTGACAGCGCCAACTCCCGTCACTTCCTCCCGCTTTACGTAACATCAGACAGGATGCTCTCCAGCTGCGACACCCCCCCACACACACACACATCCCAAACATGTCGGTAACATACACAACCTCGCAGGGCAGGGCGCAGCTGTCGGGCCTGAAAAATGGACGTTTTTACGAAGCCGGCAGTCAGGCAGGCAGCGCAGCAACGCATAAAAAGCAACACGGGGCCAGATGGAAGCGTATTGTGAGCCGAAAATGAGCGGACGGCTGCAGGGCTGAAACCAGACAAGAATCTTACGGATCAACATCCGTCAATGGAACTCGTCCCGTGGGACAAATCCATGACCACTATTTGGCTTAATTGACTTTGCGACGTTTTAATGCGCGTAGTTTATGCTTAAGGAAACGTGTGGGGAATGAAGCATCGTCGGCATGCCGCAGGGGACACATTAGAGGTCAAACCGACACAACATTGGGTACACTTAGACTGATATTAAAACATATCTGTGACCTTGCCGATATTAAAAGTGTACTCGAAAAAAGACAAATTGCTCAAAAGACTGCGAAGGAGGAGCATCTTCCGTCCTCTTCGAAATGAATTGATTTATCACCATCTCATAGCGGCCATTACCGAGATGCGAAAATGAGCGAGCGACCCAAAAAAACGGTCATTTAAATGCAAACGTTTGATCGGGTGAGATTTACATCCCCGTGGCAACGGAGGCGAGCTGATACGAAGGCGTCCACTCACTCGAGGACGTCCCTGTTGAAGGGCTTCTTGCTGTTGCCCAGGAACTCGCCGATCATCTGCCGACTCAGACCCTTCCTCTGGAGCAGGAAGTGGGCCACGCCGATGGGCGTGTCCGGGATGAAGCCACGCGAGATCAGGAACTGAAGGCCCTTGTCGGGATTCCTGGTGAAGTTACAAATGAAAAATGCTTTAAAGGGTGATTTTGAGGGGGGTGTCATACACAGGTGCATGTTATTTACAGGTTTTTACGGTCGTGCTGGTATGTTTAGTGAGAGGCGGGCACACTCTATGAGAGTCACTTTAATTACAAATATTTTTTTAAATTCACCACAGTGCAGTTTTAAATTCCAATTCATTTGTACTCCACGGAAGTTTGCTTTCTATTGCACGAAGTGGCTGTTAAAATTAAAAACCGTGATTCAGAATTAAATCGTGCAAGCCGACCGCGGAGACGATGGTTAGCATTAGCAACTAGCCTTAGATTCTTATTTGACTTTAAGATGTTATGATGTTTTAACTGAAAACGTTGGTCAAACGGTTCCGATTCCCAGTGTCCGCTGTATTTATAAAGCGATTAGACACGTGTGGAGGAGGGAAGGAGAGATGCTCCGGGGAGACGAGCGCGTGAATGCCGTCACCCGCCCTCTGCGTTCTCCCTTTATGTAACAACGCGCCTGTCCCGACTAATGGGTTTAGCTAGGTGAGGATAGATGGGTCGGGGGGGAAGGGATAAAGGGCAAGGGGGAGGCTGCGAGAGGACCAGACAGAGCAGATGTGAGCAAATGGCAGCATGAGCTCGCTGGCGGTCTCGGCTCTGAAAGCATATGCTCGCCCACTCTCCTGACGGCTGACGTGTCGCTGAGCGAATTTGGCAGATTACTTGATGTTTTCCCAACACGCGCGCCAATCCCACACGCTGAATATCATTTGCGATGGCAAATGGGACGAGGTGGGCGTGGGGGGAGGGGGCAAATTCGAGACGAATTGGGGATAAGTGGCGCAGAATGAGGGAGAGGCAATCCTGGCAAAGTGAGGATCAATATTGTGATTGCTGCATCGCGTCGCGAGCGCTTTGGAGTGTTCTGATGAGCTCAGTTTGCTACATTTGATTGTTGATTAGACTGTTTTCGAGCAATTCAAAGCGACAACTCAGGTTTTGTTTTTTTTGTTTTTTTTTAACACAAATCCCGTGTGAATTTGCAGTGTGACGAGGGCCACCGCGTTGGGTTCCGTGAGAAAACTCGCTTTGCCCAGCTCACCATCTGGATGCAGGCGATTGCAATTACTCACAGGGTCTTTAACATGGCGGAATCGGGGGGTGGGCACAGGATGTTGATGTGGGATTTGTGAGAACGTACACACACACACACACACACACACACACACACACACACACACGCTTGGGCAAAAAAAAAAACAAAAACG